GGGGCGGGGGGGCGCGGGGGGCTGGGCACCCCCATCCGGATGAAGCCCCTAATAACACGTCCAGACAGTGACAAACAGTCCACCCGAGATGCGGAAAGGAGCGGCCACTTACAGACCTGTTGCCTGCACTTGACCAGGAGTGGCAGAAGAAAAGCAGAAAAATGCCCAACTTTTAAAAAAAAAGTGTCAGAGACCACTATCCTCTGAAGACCAGAAATTAAAACAGGAGTGTTTCGCATGTTCGTGCTGGAATGTCCACTTAGGGAAATGTTCATCATGAATTATTTCTCCTGGAAAATAGTTGTGTTGGGGGGGGGGTCCCCTGTGTGTCTGTGACTCCGTCTCCAGCTCTCCTGGATGTGAGCTGGCATGTGTTATACACATGGAAGCAGAGTGGGGACACACTGCTGAAAGAAATGAGAACGAAAGTCCTGGAAACGGAAGGGAAAGCCATGTTTCCCCTTCTTCCGCTCTGGGGTGTCTTAGAGAAAAATGAGAGTCTTAATTGACTTTTTGGGTTTGTTGGTTTGTTTGTTAATCCTCACCAAGAATATTTTCCCCATTGATTTTTACAGAGAGTGGAAGGGAGGGAAGGGGAGAGAGAGGGAAGGAGAGAGAGAGAGATACGTCAATGTAAGAGAGACACATGGATTGTTTGCCTCCCCCACGAGCCCCAACCAGGGCTGGGGATTGAACCTGCAACCCAGGTACATGCCCTTGACCAGGAACCAAACCCTGGACCCTTTGGTGGGAGGGCTGGGGCTCTATCCACTGAGCAACACCAGCAGGCTTAATTGACTTTTATTACCTAGTTGGCCAATCATACACAAGCAGCTATGTGTCCTGGGCCATTATATTCAATGGGCTTTTCAAGTACCTATGAAAATGTTTGAGACTGAAACAATTTTATTGGCCCCAAATTACAAAAAGTACAGTGCAAATTTGAACTTTATAAATGTTCAAAGAAAGGCCCCCATAACATAACATGTCAACTTCATACTTGTGATTTATTTACTGATAAACATTTCATTATAACCACGTGTAAGTTGGAAATCACTTAGTAAGAATTTCCTCATACCATGATTTCTGGGAAGTCACAGCAATTATAAATTAACTAAGTTCCTGTCACCAAATAAGTTCATATGAAAACTGTTGTTTTTTTTTAAAGGTCAACGTTTTAAGAGTATTTAGATCATGTGGGAGTATTTTACTATATTTGTTATGATGTGGGATGAGCTTCCAGAACTCAGAGTGCCTAGAATGAAAGAAGTTCTTAAAATAGCCTGCTGTGTATGTGTATACTCGCATCTTGTCACGAACGTGCCCCTTCAGACTACCCAGATTTACATTCCTACAGATGTCCCTGCCCGGGGATGAGTGCTC